CCCCAAAACCCCAAAACCCCAAAACCCCAAAACCCCAAAACCCCAATAATATTGCAATATTATTTAAAGATACTTCAAACATGAATTTAAATCAAAAAGTTAATGAAATCAGTGATGTTCCGAAATTAATTAGACTTTGAAGAGAGAAGGCCTGACTCGGGCTCTATGAAGACTCATCCATAAGATTTACGGCTGCACTCAAAATTATCAAGCAACATTGCAAAACTTTAACAGATTATTATATTTTGAATAGATGGAAAACAGCTGAAAAGTCTATCCAGGAAGAAAGAAAATTAGTCAACAAACTTGCAGAAACTACTAACAGTATGAAAAATAATTTGGACTTAGAATCTAAGGAGCAAAGTAAGCATCAAGATGAAAGACCAATCCAGTCAGCCTGATCAGAAATAAAGCATATAAATCTAAGAAAAATTGCGAATCTTGAATGAAAATCTAATATCAAAACCAAGGCTGATATTTCTGATGAACAAAAAAGAATAATATAGTAGCACCCGCAGATATAAGCAGGTTTGGAGGGTTAATGCCATTTGAGCACCATCAAATCCCTCATGAATATATTCAGTATAACGAGAAAGGGAACATAATTAATCCATCAGATCTGATGAACCAAGACTTACAGAAGAATAAAAAGGACTTTGATCCTGATATCGATGCTTATTCCGAATCATGAAGCTCAGAACATTCAGGGAGAGGTGGAAAACAACCTGCTCAGCAGAAGAAGCCTAAGATGCAACTTCCCAAAGACCCTGATGTTTGGGATCCTCCAGATCCTCTTCCCCAGAAAAATCAGAAAGTGAGGCAAACAGCTGGAAGAAGGAACGAAAGACAGAATCGTCCAGCAAATTTTTTCAAAAATGCTCCTTCTCCTAAAAGTAACATTAAGAGGAAATATGAAAAGCCTTGGATTGTTCCCCCAAAGAAGGAGAAAAAGAAAGCAAAATCTTATTTAGAGTATGTTTATCCTGATGAGGAAGGACCAGATGCCGACCTGATCAAATCCTTAGAAAAAGAAGTAATCCTTCGAAATCCTAATGTCAGTTTTGATGATATAGCAGACCTTGATGATGCCAAAAGAGTCTTAGAAGAAGCTGTAGTCTATCCTTTAATGATGCCAAAGTTCTTTAGAGGCATCAGAAGGCCTTCCAAAGGTGTCTGTCTCTTTGGACCTCCTGGTACTGGGAAAACAATGTTAGCAAAAGCTATTGCTACTTTGGGAGAAACCACTTTCATCAGTATCTCTGCTGCAGCTCTAAGCACCAAATGGAGAGGAGAGAGTGAAAGACTTGTGAGAATTCTTTTTGATATCGCTAGATTTTATGCTCCTACAACTATATTTATCGATGAAATTGATTCACTAGCTTCTAAAAGAGGAAACGGGGAACATGAAAGCAGTAGAAAAGTCAAGACTGAGTTCTTCATCCAAATGGATGGAGTCACTTCTGGTACAACTTCAGAATATCTAGAAGAGAGCAAAGATTCTCCAAGCAAAAATATCATGGTTCTTGCTGCTACTAATAGACCTTGGGATTTAGATGAAGCTATAATCAGAAGACTTGAGAAGAGAGTATACATCCCTTTACCAAAAGAAAAAGGAAGGAAAGCTTTATTTGATCTAAACCTGAAAAATATTGGGCTTTCAGATGATATTGATTGGGATATTCTTGTGGATAAAACTAAAGGATACTCAGGAGCTGATATTAACAATCTCTGACGAGATGCTGCTCTTATGCCAATGAGAAGGATTCTTACTCAAGGAAGATTTAATGTTAAAGAAGTTATTAGTATGCAAGATCAATTCGAGGAACCATTGTCCATGAAAGATTTTCTTGACGCATTAAGTAATGTAAATCCGTCAGTTGGGGATGAGTACTTGGAGAAATATGCAAAGTGGGCTTTTGAATTTGGATCTACATAATGATTTCACTCTAATCTATCTCGTTAACTGTTCTAAATATAAAATTTGGATTCAATTCTGATACTATAGAAGGGGTTTTGGGGTTTTGGGGTTTTGGGGTTTTGGGG